CAAAAGAATCATGGCTCTGATAAACTTGATCATCTGCAAAAAATTCAGCAAAAAATTAAGGTCTAAAACTACAACTAAAAATGTAATTTTCACCCAACTGCTCTTCATGAAATTTAAGACAAACATCAGAGCTCAAGTAGGAGCATGAAGGCAATTTTTGCCCCAGTAATAAGCAAATACTGCAGATAGGGATGAAAGGCAAGCAAACAATGTCTTATATCCAGTCAATATACATTGCTGAATATAAAATTAGCAGCAGCCAAAAGTTTCTAGGTCCAATCTTCCTGGTGAATCCAATTTCTCAAATTCCAACATTACATCTGTATCAAACTTGATGCAATTATAATTTTCAGTGTACTATGCAGCAGAAAAGCTTGATTCACAGGCTCAGATCGCACTTCTGCTGAAGGGTCAAGTATGATCTCTAGCTACTATAGTAGGCCTAAAGTCCAATAATAATCACATGGACAATGCATTGTGCCAACTTAACGCATAAGTTGAGACCATATATAAATTTTACATGAATAATAATAAAAAATACACAGAGAAACTTCGGTAATCACATAAAAGGGCGTGACATCAGATGACATAAACAAGTATGACAGTGGCAGTAACAACATTACTGTTTTTAAATGTCTTTGTACTTGACTGAATATGCACTTAGTCTTTAATTTTATGTGTCTGCAAGAAAATTAATCATACAAAGACTGTACTCTGGAGTAACTGAAACTGGACAATGCATGGTAGATGACTGAGAAAGAATAATGAGCTTTGAGGTTTAATCAGGTGCAAGGCACAAATATATAAGAAGATTAAATAATCAGAATTCAAGCAATCTTAGAATATATGAATTAATGAACTAGAAACTTAACGATAACTGAAAAAAAATTCATCCCTAAAGGTTCATGTAAAAACAAATAAATGAATATAAATAATAAGGTTGTATGCTCTTCTATTTGAATTTAAAAAAGCTCAGTCAAGTCTAACAGTTTCGATTTTTCCAACCTCATAAAAACTCTATGGAAGCACATTAATAGACTGGTAAAAGGGAAAAGTTTTCTAAAGTCCAACAATAACCATTGGTCCACCACCTCCCAATGCTTTTCTTCATCTAAAGTGACTCAGTGGTAGACCACAGCCCTATGCATGTTTTTCAACAATACATAATGTAATATGATTATATGTAAGTTTATGATGCCTTCAATAACGTTTTCATAGCAACATGACATTTTACAGAGAAGATAAGACTCACAAAAACAACGAGATTTAACAACTCTGTACAAACACTTGGAATAAACCGACTAAAATTTCTTGTAATTATAAAAACTGATAAATAGAATTATTATCAATCACAGAAAATAGGCCAAGCAGTAATAATACTAATGTGCACAACATGAAACCAAAGTATAATATGATATGTGTTTGCAAATCTATTGCTAGCTATGCATCTCTAGGCAACTTAAAATTTATATAGCAAAAAACACGTACCACGAAAGAGACTGAAGAAACATTACAGTCCTAGACACAGTCAAGGTCACCAAAGTGGCAAGATAATCTTTTGCAATGCTTTAAGCCAATCAAATATGATCTCATTGAGTAAAAAAAAAAAAAGGAAAGAAAAAGAAAAGAATAATTTTCAAGGTTCACCTCATCCTGACACCATATTTATGAAACTAGAATTAACATAACATTAAGAGTAGTGAAGGTGGAGAAGGAAGGGGGGGGGGGGGGGGGGGTTCTAAGAGTGTGTTTTAAGGAATATTCATTTCGATTTGTTTTGTGTGGGGTAGAGGTAGGAATGTTAGGGAATTTTGGTTCTGTGTCTCAGACAAAAGGGACGGGGCTGGGGTTGAATCGTAAGAGTAGGATGAAAGATATGAACCATCCAAGTTGTGTTTAGGAGGCGAGAAAAGGTAGGTAGAATTTTTCATGATGATAGGGAATCTATTAATATGGTTGTAGATAGTTCTCATCTATCTACTTTACTTATAAAAGTATTTTGAGAAAAAAAAAAGAAAATAGAATGAAATAGAAAAAAATGAAAGAAAATTAATTAAACAAAAAAAAAAAGAAGGGGGGAAAAGTAAGACATACAACCCATCCCTATGGGTGTGTGTCTTGCTTAGGTCCGGTTGGTTTGTCGGGAGATTAAGAGGATGTAGAAAGGTATTTTGGATGTTGATGAGGATTGAATGACCTTATGATGCTTGCAGGGTTCATTGCAAAGTACGTAGCTGCTTCGATGTGAAACTGGTATGATGGATGCTGCTATAAGGTTTGGCTAATGGAAAAAGGATGAATGGTTGAGCATGATTAAATTTGAAGGTAGGCTGAGAGGGAATGAAAAATTCAGTTGCAATGGGATGATTTTGTAATGCTGTCAGAATCATACCAAATGCAACCTGGTTTGCTTCAAGGCTGAGTCTGGTGGATAAGGAATTCAAATGGGGCAGAATGTTCTTTCACTTGGTAGGAATGCAATGAGAAGAAGAAGACAGGTTTTGTAAAGATATTTTGAGAGTTGATGCTGATAGTACGACTTTAAGATGCTCTCTGGGATTTTTTTTTTACATTAGGGAGCTGCTTCTAAGTGTAACATATGTAGATTGAAGCTGATTTATGCCCTGGGATATTCGTTACACTAAGGTGATGGCTCTACAGTTTGTCTGATTTTGTGAGCACACTGATTGTTTTAATTACTTTGTTTTTTCTTATACGCAGGTCTAATCATGTTAAAAAATATATCCTGCATGACTTGGCTGCATACCTATCACACAGAGGTAGTGTTTTTGTACACTTCTTTAAAGAATTGAAATCATCTTAAATACCTTATCACATGCCGATGAAAAAGCTTACTGGTTCAGCAAGAAAAGGACATTTCCTGACAATGCACAACACCATCTTAAGATACTGAACATAACTACATCCTCTATCAAGCATTCTCCCCAAATTTTAGAACATGACATTCATTAATGGGGTCATGTGAAACAACCAGAGATTAAGTCTATAACCATATTTCACTCAATGAACAAAACTCCACACAATTCAAATCATCATATATCATTGCAAGCAAACAAGAAAGCCCAAACGTTTACTAAAAGACAAAGAAAAAGCCATAGAAAAGTCCAATTCCACCTGATTCTGCCCGGACCACTCTGTATTTATATACATTTTCGTGAATGCCCAAGTAAATAAAATCATCTAAAAACTTAAAAATGAGGAAAATTTGAGCAGTAGACTAAAAAACAATAACCATAAAAACACAAGAAAATCCTCCCAAACATCGGCCTTTCTACAATGCAGAATAAATCCTTACAAACCAAAAATAGGCATTTTTTTTTAATATTTGAAATCATGTTCGGATGTTCCTAACGAAGAATTAGCCAAAAGAGTATTAAAAAACAAATTAAAGGAGAAAACTTGTTGCACGAAGCTTAGATTTTTCACAACAATGCCCCAAAGCAACATTGAGACACTAACAAAATTCACTTTCACGATCAAATAGCTATTACTTTAACGATAAACAGATAACGAAAAAGAAAAGAAAAAAAGCAAATTGACGGTAAACGATATAATTATTTAAAAGAAATCTAAAAAGCCTCTGAAACAAAAGTTAACGACAGAATTGTAAGACAAAGGAAACATGAAAATGCCGAATTCTATTTAGAGTAAAAAGTTTACCTTTTTTTTCTTTGAAGGTTGCAGAGTGCGGAGGGATTCGACGTCCGATCAAATTCTCGCCAGAATATACGAAATTACAGTTTAATCCCTCCCACCATTTTTTATTTTGTTAATTAAAAGATTGAAAAAACTGGGGACATGCAGAGATAGAGAGGGACAAAGCGAAAAGACATTCGGAAAATATATATATATATATTTATTTGGAAAAAGAAAATCTTGAATGAGAGGGACCGAGAGAAGAGTGCGGCCCACTTGAGAATGACGGAGGAAACCCCGGATGGGGAGAGCACCTACGACTGCGAAACTAGAAAGGAAGGAGGGATTTTTCTCATCTACAGTTGTGTTTAACTCTCTATTTGAATTCAACCAATTAGTTAACTGCGCGTGTAATTTGTGACGTGGCAGGTTCCTATTTGGAGATTGGCCGGTGAACGAGGGTGGGACGGGAATGTAGAAGGATTCCGACAGGGGCGTTACGTCATGCGAATCACACTTGTCATGGAGCTCGAGAGATTACGTGATGACGTGCATGCGGTTCCCGGGAGAAAAATTAGCCTGTAGTACGAAATGACTGATATGCCCTTTCTTATTGTTTTCACTGTTTGTAGCCACTTGTTTTTTTTTGGGTCGCACTGGCGTCATCCGCGGCATTTTTTTAATTAATTGGACTCGTCACGTCTTATTATGGTTAAATAATTACAATCAGCAACTAAATATTGGAATAATAAACCTTAAAGTTTTCGAGTTTGGAAAAAGCATTGTAAAATATTGACTTGCAAAATGTCTACCACTTGACAACTGTGCCAGTCCAAGTTTCCTCTTTTGGACAATAGGTATGTATTTGCCCAAGTTGGATAGCAGAAAATGACGTTAATTGGGATATGATGTTTTAAGAAATAAGAGCCCTTTTGTCGTTTATCTAATAAATAAAAAAAAAACCTTTTCAAATTATTATTTTTGGAAATATTCGTGTGATCATGAATGTGTTTACTTAATATAAGTATATATGTGTATATATATATATGCGTAAGCTTATATAAAATGAAAAATGAATATAATGCCTCGATCTTTGTTGTTGGTGCAACTGAAACGACCGGTTGGAGAAAGAATTGGTGCTACTCACCATGCCGATAGTGAGGCTGTCACAATGAACTAAAACTCATCACTTCCCTTTGGTTTTCCTATATATAATTACGTTTCCCCTGCTGCATTTGGCAAGGCTAGCTTGGATGTTATTGAAAGGAAGAAAATTCAGAAAGAGAATTTCTTTTCCAAGGAGTTTTGCATAGACAGCAGAGTGAAAGAAGAAGATAGAAAAGATGGGTTGGAAATATAAGGGAGGTTTGCTTCTAATTATTGGTGTCGTAATCATGTGGGTTACCTCTGCAGAGGTTACTCAGGTTAGTTCTGATCAGATTCTTCTCTTCCTTCTCACAGGTTCCTTGTTCTTCTTTTTACTTTTGCAATCGATTTTTGTCGAGTTGTCGACCGAATTTCTTGGACTTTTCATGTTTTTATACTGTCAAGTACGGTTCATGAATCTTCCATCTTTCTGGGACAACTTGGTTTTCGACACTGTCACTTTGTAGTTTCGTGGTTATCATTTGTTGCAACAAGATCTGAGAGATGATCTTTGACAATTTGTCATAATGAGAACTTCTGTGGGGTAGGTGTAATCCACCCATCATGTCAATTTCTTAGTCATCACCAGGCTGAAATTAAGAACAATGGTTTTGGTTTTTGACACAAGGAGTTTTAAAATTATTCCTAGCTAGGTTGGAATTTGTTAATGTTATCTTGACTCTATCTCTGTTGCTTAAATTCTGCAGTTTAATGATTAATCTGTAGAATCTCTGGATGGTTGATGAATGTATTCGTTCTTATTTATAGCTTAGCTTAATTGTCTTTAGCGTGCACACCAACCATAATTGAAATTAATGTGAAAACAGGGAAGAACTTTGCCCATAAAAATGTGTGTTCATGTTATATAAGGTGGTTCTAAAGTCAGAAAATTTTCAATGCTTAATTTGATGATAATCATGAATTTTCTTGATTATCTGTTCATATCTTCTTCTATGTTTGACAGTTTGTCACTATGGTTTTATTCCTATATTTTTTATTCAGTTTTTAATTTTTCGGTTCATGTTAACTTCCGTTGTTGAAACTGATGATTTCATTTCATCTGCTTTGTTTGCTAACGGAATTGGGAGGTCTCCTGGTTGCTCCTGGATCTTCGTTCTGGGCATCAGGTTTTCACCCACTTGCATTTTTTACCTCTAATCTGGTTTTTATTTTCATTTTGTTTCTTTCTGAATGGTTTGGTCTTCTCATTCAAGCACATTTGTCATATTTTCCTATGCTTAGCTTTTGTCTTCGATATAAATATCATTACAATAATTTGCATTCACTTTTAATTTTTATTAAGTTATTAGACGTTCTTATGCTAAGATGTTATTCTATGCCAGTTCAGTGGTGCAAGGTGAAGATCATTTTCTTCTTACTAAAATTATTATAGGCCATCAATTTTTTTTTTGTTGGAACTTGACCGCTAGGGCTCTGTTCTAATGCCGTTACATTCTCATTTTTACTATGGAGTTTTGACATCACTGTTATGTTCCGACAGGGTGTGTTTGAAGACTATAGGCATCCATTTGCAGTGACATATCTTGGAACCTCTCTTCTGGCACTTTATCTGCCAATAGCGTTCTTTAGGACTGGTTAGTCAAGCATCTGAGAGGTTGCTCTTGTAATAGTACCAAAGGCCCAAAAGGGGTTGACAGGTCCTCTGTAGAACTGAATTCTTCTGTAAAACATGATGACAAGCATGGTAATTTTCAAATTGAACATCAAGCACCAGTGCCTAAGGAGTGTGTCATAGACCTTTGTATCAAGGAGGAGGAAAATCCCCGGGTTTCTAGCACAAAGTTATTGTGGAAGCACCAAAGCAGAGACCGAATGCTTAGCACAAGGAGATTGCTGCATTTGGCTTTTGCATGGCTCCTATCTGGTTTGCAACAGAGGTGTGAATGAAAAAGTTGTTTATCTAATTTGTTTTTTTAGCTGGTTTTCAAGTCAAGCATTTGTCTTTAAGAATCTAGCATCAAATTCGTTGAAGCCAAAATTTTAATTAGTAAGGAATGCCATATATTTTCTCATCCAGATTCCAACATCTCTTTGTTTACATTTCAAACTATGCTTCCACAATGTATATATGCATCTGTGCATGCCCCTTTTGCCTGATTCCGCCACCCATCTCTTTTAAATCTTCATATGCATAGATGTGCTCATTTCATGTAAATCCTCAGGCCTTTTCTGTATGAGAAACATAATCCCACCGAAATACAGTTGAACCACTACAGGAAAATATGGGATTTACATATTTCCTAGAAAGACATTGTTGTAGTTCTTTCTAATATTGTTCATTGTCTACAGTATCTGACCAACGCTGCTCTCGCAAGAACAAGTGTTGCTAGTACAACATTGTTGTCCTCAACTTCAGGATTTTTCACTTTATTTATTGGGGCACTTTTAGGTCAAGACTCTATTAGTACAGTGAAAGTTGTTTCAGTTGTCATTAGCATTGCTGGTGTTGCTATGACTACACTTGGAAAGACATGGGCTGCAAATGAACCAAATTCAGGCATTAACAAGTATTGTTTTCCTCCACCTCATTTGAACTGTTACATGCTACCATAATTTGGCTTGGACTATTACTTGTGTTAAGGTTATAAATGGACTAATTATACACTTCTATAACTTCTTTTTGCCCCTTTTCTGAGGTGGGGGGAAGGGGTGGAGTGGTGGTTTGCAATTGTTTTAATGGTTTTATTTACTTGATATATGTGAAGCATGTTTTCTGAGAAGCTACTTACAGTTTTCCTCCTGCATTTAGAGGTGGGAAACATGCTCTTCTAGGAGATCTTTTTGCTATCTTCTCAGCTATGAGTTATGGACTGTTTACAGGTTTTATACCTTCTCTTTTCTTTGAACCATATTAGAGTTTTTTTTTTTTTGATAAATTACCAACAGAATACTAAAATCATATGTTGCAGTCTTGCTTAAAAAGTTTTCTGGAGAAGAAGGAGAAAGGGTAGACATGCAGAAGTTATTTGGCTATATTGGATTGTTTGCACTTGTTGCCCTTTGGTGGCTTGGTAAGCGCATATTGTTAGTTGGTTTTCCATAATTTTTCTGCTCTAGGTCAAAATGAAAACTTTTGACATAGTTATCATATTCTGTTTTTTTCAGATTTACACTGTGGAATAAATTTATACTTGACTGCTAGGTTTCTTCTCCCCTGTTCTGATAAGCTTGTTTAGAGATGTGAAATAAAAAATAGACATTACTGTTTCATCTTCTTCCTGATAGCTTGAAACTGGACTTAGTTTAGCAAGACATTCTAGGAACTAGTTTAGACTATGCAAAGCAAAATGATGGAATCAACTGACTGTGGTAAACCACTACTGGAATGATCTGATGTAAACCACTACTGGAATGATCAGGCTGTGGAGCTGTTTTCTAACTTTTTAAGCATTTGATAGCCACTTTTGCGATGAATAGCTTTATGTGGAAAGTAGCCAATAAGCTTCTAACAACTTTCAGTAAATGCTCTCATAAAGTTAGATAAAAATTGGACACAACATCTGCATTGTGTATGACTTGATGTTTCTGAATTCTATCCAGCATGGCCTCTGACTGCCATTGGTGTTGAACCAAAGTTCACATTTCCTCAATCAGCTACAGTGCAAGAGATAATCCTTATAAACAGTTTCGTCGGGTGTTTTCTATCAGACTATTTCTGGTATGTGAATACAACAGTCTAACTAAATTTTCTGACTTATGGATCTTCATATTTTTAGTTCCTCCACGTCAACATCTATCATACTTTACAGGGCATTGTGTGTTGTCTGGACCTCTCCGCTGGTAGCTGCACTAGGCATTGCACTTACCATACCAATTGCAATGTTGGAAGACATGCTAATTCATGGTCAACAGTATTCAATAATCTATATCATTGGATCAGCTCAGGTAAAGGAGTAATCTTGATAAATTCAAAAACTTGTCAGCCCCATCATCCTTCAATTTCTTTGATACACATAAGCATCTGACCAGATAAATATTCAGTTAATTTCTACTCCATAACATAATCAAATTGATCAACTATACATTAGTTTTGAACCTCCAGCTTATGTACATTGCTGCATGGAAGTCCCTTGCTTATGAAGGATCATATTGTGATGGATTTCAGGTATTCCTGGGATTTCTAATAGCTAATATTTCAGACTGGATATCAGAGAAGTTGAGATGGTAAAGCTGTCATTCTCCACCAAAGACTATATAACTGGCCCAACTTTAATGATGCATGGGCCCCCTGTAGGCTATGTATGCAGTAGTTTTATCATCTGGTTTTGCTGGAAAGGATACTATTATATTATAGTAATGTACCAAATGTTATGATGTTTCCTAACTAGTGGCAAGCTGTATGAAAATCTTCCTGTTTTGAGTTTCCACATTGACAAATCGCAGCACTTTTATGATTTAGGTTTTTGGGATAACTATATACAAATCAGTACAATTTAATTTTCCCTCCTTTCAACTCTCGTTGAGAATTTTTTTCCATGATTTGTTGCCACAACCGTCATTTTCAAATCTAATTTTCCCTGCCTTTTCCATTAAGATACCGTTTCTTTGTTATCATTTTCAAGATGATTATGATGTTTTATTCGTTATGTCATGGTGATCTTATTATTACAGGTGACTAAAAAAATTACATTTACTTATCAATTATTGAACACGAGGATAAGATCATTGTGTTCCATATCATATAAGATCAAAATAAAAATTTTTTAATTGTAAAATTTTAATATGAAAAAATATATTTATCTATAGGTAAATCTTTAAATGAATTAGAAAAATGAAATTAAATCTATTAAAATGATAGTGGATGTGTTGAGAAAACAAAAAATTATATGCAACATAAGGAAAAAGCATGTGGTACGCATTTGAGTTTGGTAAAAAAAATTATTACTTTGAAAAGGCAAATATTTATTATACAAATAAAATTACTATGTGGTAAGAAAGTAAGTTTTTTATTCAGGTAATATCATCCAAAATTAATATTATAAATCATTTACTTGGATGGGAAAAGTTGTCCACATTTTTTATGGAAATTAAGATTTAACCATTATTGACAATCTTAATTTAATATATTGTTATAGATTATTAGGTTACATCATAAGTTTTGTTTTATAGGTATGTATGCCAATGCCATGTAGCATTTTTTAGTTTAAATGGCAAAGGTAGTGACAACATTTTAACTTTAAAATAGTGTTGTTTTAATTACTTCAATGTCATTTTAATTAAAGAAGAGACATTCAAATTCAAATCAATTAGCTAAATGGAGAGATGCTGGTGTAGCATTGGAGGAGGCCCATAGTTAAATCAAATAAACAGATCAATATCCCATTTGATAACTTCAATGGTACTGTTTATTAATTTGTAAATAGAATTTACAAAGGAGAGGGTGCCGACATTACTCGAGTAAGCAATTATTTATGATTGTTACGTTTTAGGCAAATCTAATCAAATTTGTGATTATTAATTTAATTGATTGTCACATTTCCCTAAATAGTTATGTTTCCATCACCACATCAAAATTTTTTTATTTTATAATTAAAGAAAGGGATTTGAACCTTACATTCTAATGAGAAGATCAAGTCCTTAACTTAACACCGATGCCTATATTCAAATCTAATATTTATAATCAGGAAATCATGCACCAACTAATTAATAAGAGCTAAATCCTTAAATTAGCACTGATGCCCCAGATTCAAACCTAAGACGTTTTCATTAGTTTACCTTTAACAACAGGGGCAATGCAAACTGGAAAGCTTATAAAGCTAAAATCTTCAGTAAAATTGACAATGTCTAATTCTGATAAAGGATAGCCAGAAACATTCCACTCAAAAAAGAAATCAAAGCCCCTCTTTGATGGGCCCGGAATTGTTTCATGCTCAGGAACACCTAAAAGCTGAGTCGTATCGTGAAAATGCTTAAGATCAATTGAAGCAGAGAATTAAAAGTTATTGCACTTAGATATGGCGTCAAGTGCTTGTGCTTCGAACGAAGAGGCGGCTCAAGCAGATTGGAAATATATGCAACAAGTCATTAATTTTCTTCTACTAGGGAAAAAATAGTCTTTTCCAATTGTCATGGAGCTGATTGTTATTTTAAGATTCTACACAAAAAGAGTTAAATTACACTATTATCTTACATACAGTCAATTCAAAATTCCAAGCAAAAAAAGGGCCACCAGGATTCGTTTTAAGATCAAAAGGAAGCTGAGAACATGGCCGATGGTTTTGATAGTTTGATGCGTTGGTGCAGGAGAAACCCACTATCTAGCCTCTGGTTCTAATTAATTTGAGGCATTTCAAGGAGCGAATGAAGGTCCTGAAAGAACCAAGTTCATTTCCATCAGATTCTACCTATAAAGAAAACAAAAATAACCCAGAAAATTAGGGCCAAAATAAGTACCTCCAGGGCACATCTTCAGCAAGCAACCAGTCTCCTTCGCGGTCCAGATAAGTGAGTCTAAAGCACTTCCAATTCTCATCAGCTGTTTCCAAACAAGAAGGGAAAGTAACAGTTAACTCATGCCTTTGTTAATCAAAATTTAATGTTGGAAACTAGGATTATATTTAAAGCAAGGATTGGGGTTACTTACAAATACCAAACATTCTCATCAGGGTGCTTGTGAGCGTTTCAAAGGAATGATGGACGCTAAGGTCAATTTTCCTAGCAATTGCAACTCCTTCCATCTTTACCTTCACGAACGTGGAATTTGAAGCTCTAACAACACAGCCATTGTCCGCCGCCGCCGCTACCCTATTGTTCTGCTCTCCACCATCAGGAATATGGCGGCGTAGCTTCTTCCTCCAGGTTTTAACCGGTGGCCACCCCACTAAACCCTCTCCATCATTCCTATCAAACCAAAGATTTAAACCCCATAAATGAAAAATTCCCAAAGATTCAAGTCATCAAGAAAATTGCTAACCCAGGAAGAAAACACCTAATAACAAAAGTTTTTGCACGTTTTTGTTCTGAAAAACAGAAAAGCAAGCGTAAAGAAACACGACAGAGTTCAAGTGCAAACAAAGAAACAAGACAGGCGCACGAAACAAACGCAGAAGAAACAAAAAGAAAAGAGAGAGAGAGAGAAAAAGAAAAAGTACTTCAGAATGGCAGAAGAAGAGTAGCCCTGGAGATCTTTAGGGTCATCTTCGTCATTCGGTTGGTTACTCCAAAGCAAAAGAGGCAGCGTTTTGGGAACAGCTCTGTTCTCATCAAACAGTACAACTTCGTCAAAGCCACGTTTTCTGCTGCCACCGCTGCTGCTGGAGCTACTGCTGCTGCTACTGTTAATATTGTTAATGTCGCATGGACCCAGTTTTAGCAAAGGCCAGCTCAAAATGGTGGAACCCAAAGCCTCCCTAGGTTCATAACCGTAGCTGTTAAGGTCGAACATCTTGATGGGAATAGGAGGAGTACATGGAAGAGCGAGTCCCAGTTGGAGCTCCATGCACATCAATATAAATTGAAAATAGTCCCTAATCCAAATTGTCCAACACTACCAAAACAAAGATTGCCTCCAAAAATAAAATAGAATACTTTAAAAGAAGCAAGGTGCAATTGCTCTTATGCTACGGCGTAAGAGAAGCAAAGCAAAGGGAGAAAAAATGAAGAGTCAAGAAGTCTGGGTTTTTTGGCAGCAAAGATGGGGGATTTTAATATGAGAAGAAGTGTGAGACGGTGAGATGGGGACATTCAGCAGACAGAGGGTAACATTTGGTGAAGTGGGTCCAAGCTTTGCTTCACTTTTAGCCGACCTATTTGCCCCCCTTCTGCTTCCTTTGTTGCTTCCCATTGTTTTCTGCATCTTTGTTAACTACACTGCCTGTGTCTGTTGTAAGAATTCCACGCGCACCTAAACTGGGTCTTCCTTCCTTTTTCTTTTCAGCTCTTTCGTTGGTTCGTGCATTTCCACAGTGAGGCGCGGGAAACACATGAACCAGCAGAGGAGTCCTGATTTTTTTTGCAAGGTGTCTATTTATGAATCACTTGTCTATTAATTGAGTTGGGATTTTTGACCTCAAGAAATTAACTACTCCAGTACCATAAAACCAAAAATTAATTTGATCTTTACTACTACCTTTCTTTGTCCCTTTCTATTTTTGCTATTAAAGAAAATGCACATTTAAAAATTTGTTTAAACTACACACCTTTGTTGATAACAATTTTTATAGGTATTTCAAATTCACCACCAATTAAAAATTCATGAATTTAAAAATAATTATGGAAGTTATATTAACAATTTATACTAGATTTGAAGTTTAATTTTCTTCTTCCAAAGACAACCTTACTAAATTCCATAAAATCTTGGTTTTGGAATAAGATGTTTTTACATCAACTTGATTAAATTGATGGATCAAAGCTTTTCTTGTACAAGGGGAATATGTACTCCCAACAATGTGAAACAGACAAATTGTGTTCTTGACCATATAAACTTTTTTAGGCTCTGAAAGTAGGGGAATGTGGTCACTTTATGCTGGACAAATGAATTCACTTTGTGAAAGCAATTCAAACTGATGGCTTCACCCTCTTTGCAACCCTAAACCAACCCTAAAACCACGAAGACTAAGCCCTACACTATATGAACACACACATGCAACAACTAGTTCGAAATCCCAGGCATGACTTCGGTGTTGCCTTTGCTTCCCCTCATCATCTATAATCTCAAATCAGGACGCAGATAAAAAGTAAAAAGAAAAAGGTTAAACCAGGGTGTGCTGTGAACACGCTCCTGTAGGGAGAGTGGGAGGGTTGGAAAGTAGGGTTGAGTTAAGAGGGTGAGGAGCCCCGTGAGATTGAAAGCAAAACTTAGAGAGAGCAACAGAGTTTAATTCCCGTTTAGGTTACAGATTTGATAGTCAAACCAACTATGGGGGCCCACCTCTCCATTTCCCCTTGCATTCAAAATCATTGACACATCTTCGGTTTCTCCCTTTCGGAACACTTGCCCAATCTAGCACGTTTCATCAGCTTCGCTGTCCTGCTGATGAGATGTTCCAACCACGCAATCAATCTAAACAATTCAATTTCTCTACCTGTTGCTTTCAAATTCCACAATTTCTTTTTTTTTTTTCTCTATTTGTAGAAACTATATCTGTAAAAAATATTTGAATTCGAAAATTTTGCTCTGAAGGAAAGGTGTGAGAGTCTGATGCATTGAATCTTGGATCATATCTAATTTTCGATTGCCTAATTTCAAATTCAACTTTATCTTCGATTTTTTGGGCAAGTTGGTTGGACTATATTTCTCACAATTCTAATG